ATGGATGGGGACGAATCCGGCCGCCGAGGCCTGCTCCGTCAGAAACGCAATGATGGATGGATCTGTGTACCCGCATGTCATGATCTCAAGATAGTTCTGGTCCGGAGGCATGTAGTAATGTCCGTTACATACGCGGTATTTCCGCGTGACGTGCTGAATCATCTCACTGGACTTATACGAGGAGGAGTTGGTGGCCAGAATACAGTCGGGTGGTGTGAGTTGGTCCAGTTGGCCGAATAGTTCAATTTTCAAGGGAAGGATCTCTGGAATAGCTTCGATAACCATCCATGCGTTCTGTACTGCATTATCCAGAGAGGAGCAGAGTAGTACGCTGCCTTGCTCCGTGCCGAGTTTGGTGGATTGTTCGGGCATGGCATCGTTGATGTACTTTAATGCCGCGCTGGCGACTTCAGGGGCTTTTTCATACAGATGAACAGTATGCCCTGCTGCCGCCCACATCATGCATAGTCGGCGCCCCAGAACCCCGCCGCCTATCACGGCAACAGGGCGGGTGGTTGTATCGGGCTCTATCCATGAGGTTGAGATCATCGTGATAAAGTTGTGGTAGCCTGGCAGGATTTATTCTGGAAACAGAGATAAAGGAGACAATACTCTAACGACTAAGAAGCAGGACATTAAGAATTTCTATAAGTACAGGATCAGGCATGCAAAAGATTACGGCCCCAATGGCATTGGGATCATCGCAATGATTTAGTTCGATAGTGAGATAGTACTACCATAGGGCCCACAACCCCCACGTCCCACATGGCCTACCCCAAATTCACGTGACAATTTACGCTAATTACTTGATTGGCTCGTACCTTGTTTCTCGGACCTCTTTTAGTGTTGGGGCGGTGGGGTAACGGCATCAAGGCCTCTGATCCTCTCCCACATATTGGGGCTAATCTGTCCTACAGCATCCAATTCTGCCCTTTCCATCGACCCCATTATTCCATCCATCATGAATGATGGCAACTCCGTCTGGGGCTTACTTGCCCACCCAACCGTCACCCATTCTTGAGCCAATCCCCCATTACCCCAGCAATGTCGTCCCAGAAGAGCGGGTCACATTACGCATGGCCATCATCCTATCCAATGGTTTGCAGTTTCCAGCTCCCCTAAAGTCCGCCGCATTTGGGCTAATTATGTGGCACAGGTGTTCGCGTAGACCGCCAATTCACATTCCCTGCTATGAACATCGCCAACTGCATCATCCACGGCGAAGGGGAAATGTACTCGGTAGAAATAACCCACCGCTGCACCTGCCGACGTCTATTGCATGAGGAGCTCGTGCGGATGCTCCCCGGGTTCCTACGCGAGAATGACGTGTATTGGTTCCGCACCAGGAACCCAGAGACAAACATCCAGCATACCTGCTTATTCGACGGCGCGGAACTCGAAATGCAGCTCGTGACCTCGCATGTCCCCGAATGTGGCTTTTGCTTTGCGCGACGAGCGTTTATTGCCGAGCGGGATGCCTTTGACCGGCAACAGAGCCAGATGCCTCGGGGATCGGCATCGTCGACTTCCCCGCGCGCCCAGAGTCTGAGCTCTGGGTGGACGTTCCGTGAACCAGCGGATACGGAGCGATTACGGGTGAATCGTCATGGGTGGGAGATTATGTTTGTTCTTCACCCTGATGCGAGGGAGGGGGCGGTGACGATCTCGAGGTTGAGGATGGAACTGTGTCGGTTACTGTCCATTACTGACCCGAGGCGGATCATCTTGACAAGTGGGCCATTCACCTGGGGAGGAGATTTCCAGGAAGATGGTAAGGATTACTACAGTACGTATTTTGTAAATGATTTGATCGTCGAGTCGCGGAGTATGAAGACGCCAAGGGGCAGCGCTCTCATGTACGTACTAGAGGCAGATCCAATGGGACGACCGTTATAGCATTTAACCTATCAAGAATCTTTGTAACCTTGTAAAACAAAGAAACAATTCGAGAATGTGAACTTTAAAGCCTTAAAGCCTCCCCACGTACTTGGGTTACATCTGTTTACCATGCACAGACCTGGTGGACCAGTCAACCCCGCACTGTCGCCCCCACAAGATTTGCCCAGAATTCGCCTCTCGTATGTTCGTCCTTGGCGAAAAGGATGAAAGTGACTCGGGTTAAAGAGATCAAAATTCGTAGTTCACCCCATGAGTGCTTCCAGACTATGGACTTGGACTCTCCCCAACTGACACCCCACCGGCAATGTCGACTGTTCCCGAGAACCCTACCCGTCCCCACCGTTGTGTTTACTGCGGCCTCTGCTTCAAGCGATCAGAACACCTGAAACGCCATGTGAGGAGGCGTACGTCTTGGCCTCTATCGAACCCTGTCAAAGACTTGATGAATTTCTTGCTGACAGTTGATTAGACACCAAGGAACGGCCTTTTCGTTGTCGAATATGTGGGGAGAGCTTTTCCCGAAAGGAATTGCATGACCGGCACCAACGCACCCGCCATGGCGCGACTTCAAGCATTCCCTTACCAGAAATAATAGAATCAGAGCCATGCGCAGCTACCCATCCAAATTCATACTCGCCAGGGCAAATTGACCCTGTTCAAGGTGACCCGTCAAGTCGACCACCATTCGCCTCCTTTGTCGAGGAGCCGGCGGAACCAGCACTGCACGCCCCTTTAGCGCCAGAGACACAGCAACATGAAAGCATTTACTTGGCCGGTCCTGCGGGTAGTCCTGCATTCCAGGAAAACGCGTACTCTGTGATCTCCGATCGGCGTCGAGACTCTCGATTCCAGACACCTCTAGGAAGCGAGACTCCTCCCTGGTTGAAATTACCCAGCGGGCTGGAGTTCGCGTCACTTCTCTCAGCATTGAATCGATCTCCATTATCTACAAGTCTTCCAACGCCGCTACGGCTGTGCACACCGCAGAGTGAGGCGATCTTCGAAAATGATCGGAATGAGACTGCCCGCTTGGGGATCGAAAAAGCGCTTGAGGGTTTGAGGGTGCGTTCTGCGGATATGAATATCGGATTATGCTGATTCAGTCAGAGTATAAATGTCGCAGGGGGTGAAGAATATTCCCACCGCTTCAAGATCCCTGAGATGGATTCTCTCTACCGCTACTGGCACATGTTCTTCGAGATACCTCATAAGAACCTTCCATTTGCTCATCCGAAGTCAGAAATCTATCAAATACCGGGTACAAACATCCTTCCCGTTCGGGTATATTCTACTGACATAGAGTAGCTATCGCTATTGGTGTTCTCGCCGACGGTGCCATGTACTGTGACGAACCCGAGGTCGGCCAAATGCTGTTTGAGGCCTCCCGTCGCATTGTCGCTCATCACGTAGGTACAATTCGTTTCCCGACTATGCACAGGCTTATCAATCATAGTTAAACACGCTTTATAACCGCGAAAATAATACCATACCTATCTGGATCTTCACCACGCTCTTGCTGAACTGTGTCTTTGGTCTACCCGGGGGCAAGTCGAGTGAGAGCGACATTACCCTTGGCAGCCTTGACAGTTTGATAAACCTCGCGCGAGTTATCCAATCGGGACCGGCAATGGACCTTGTCGATCAGGCGTCCACAGTGGAGGAGAAATGGAAGAGTTACATCGAGGGAGAATCTCACCGCAGGTAAGCTTTGCGTACCGCAAGCGCCGGCGTTGCTGACCTTAAGATCAATTCTTTGTTTCATTGTCGTGAGTGGTTTGTGGTCGGTGGCATACGAGCCGATCGTCAATGTCCTGGACTTTCCGTTCAGTCTGATCGAATTCCCCTGGTCGGAGACATTGTGGAATGCTCGTTCAGCCGTCCAATGGCATGCACTATATCAGAATCCTCGGAGTCGATCGCCTGGCAGCTGGTCAGAGAATGTGGAGGCGCTGCTGTTCGGCAAACCTCAGCCATTAAACGGCCTGGCCTCTCTTTGCCTTGTAGTCGGGCTCCTACTCTACATAGATGGTCTCCGACGGGAAGCAGTTCTCGACGTCGTCGAGATAAACTCATACCTTCAGCATGCTTTAGATCAATGGTTTCAGATCCATGACCGAACGAGCCTGGAGAATCTGGCCCTCAATCATCTCTGCTATCCAGCGGCCTACTATTTGCGCATTTCTCTTGTCTTGGATATCCGTCAGACAATGGACCTCATGCGCAGTAAGCAGTTTGCAGCCATGCGAAAGGTACTCCGTGAGGGTGATTTAGTGCAAGCGGCTGCCTTTGCGCGAGCCGCTATGATTCCGTGGGTGATCAGTCGCCGGAATCAAACGTCCATGGTCGCTATCCCATGCGGTAAGCCATATCCTTCGCGTCATAAGAATATACTGACTTTCCAGGGGTGGTGATCGCCGAGTGGGCTATTGACGTTATGGACAACCAGCCCGAGGATTCGCCTCAACGGGAAGTGCTTCGGGGGTTTGAGAACTCGATTCGCGAATATTGGCCTGTGGCACCCTTTTTAACTGCTGTGGATGTCTGGAGGGCAGTTCGGAGAATTATCGCTAATGGACCAGGTATGTCGCCAGACCTCCGGGTTTGCAATACTAACAGTTGCAGTTACAACGGCTCTAACAAGGAGTATGGATGCATACGAGATGTCTCTCGCATTAGCTTAATTCAAAGCATAAGCATTTAATTTTGAACCAATAGAAAGTGTAACCTTGCATAATCGAATCGCTCCTCATCATGCCATGCTCGGCAAATAATTACGTGTCTTACCCTGGCGGCCACTGATAAATTGCATCTCAATTCCCTATCAGCATCACGCATACCGGTAATTAAACTTCACTACTGACGCCAGCCACGCCACAGCAAGACCTGGCAGGCTGGGCCACTGGAATGACAGCAGAGAAGCGGAATAGCCCCATCTAGAGCCACCGGGAAACCCAGCCCACGGCGGGAATACCCCACAGTCTGGGGTAAAGTTGGGGTAAGCGATCAACACGGGGAAACAGGAATCCATCGACATAAGTAGATCTCGACACCCTGCATCTCCCTTCTTCCTTTACTATGGTTGCATCCCCTGTACTATCACCATGTACACAACCGACACCGATATCGAGAAACCCACCACAATGGGCGTTGAGCACGTGGCCGAAACGCCTGTGTCCGGGTCCATCAGCGAAAAACACTCACAGGATGCGGAGCAAATTCCCCACTTCACGCCTGAGCAGGAGCAACGGGTCCTCCGCAAGATGGATCTGCGGTTGATTCCCATGCTGTCTATTTTGTATCTATTGGCATTTTTGGACCGCGGCAATATTGGGAACGCGAAAATCGAAGGATTGGTTGAGGATTTAGGGTTGACGTCGCAGGAATATAGCTGGTGTTGTATGTTTCACTTGACTTAAGAGTTGAGAGATGTGCTGACGATATCGCAGTAACGGTGTTCTTTTTCACGTACTGTGCGTTTGAGATGCCGAGTAATCTACTGCTCAAAAAGTTGCGGCCGTCGAGATGGTTGCCGTTTTTGATGATTGCTTGGGGGATTGTCATGGTATGCTTACCGCGATTGAGATGAATTCCAGCTGACGAACTAGACGTTGATGGGCGTCGTTCACAACTATGCTGGACTTTTGTCCGCGCGTATCTTCCTCGGTGTTGCCGGTGAGTCCGCAGCAATATTGACATGCAATTATCATACTGACTTGCGCAGAGGCTGGTCTATACCCTGGCACCGCCTACTACATCACCATGTGGTATCCCCGTGAAAAAGCCCAGTACCGACAGGCTCTCTTCTTCAGCTCGGCCAGTATCGCCGGTGCTTTCTCGGGACTTCTCGCTTACGCGATTAGTGTATGACTCCGTGCCCCTTGCAATGGCAAAAGCTGACGGAGAATAGAAAATGGACGGTGTGGGCGGGTATGCCGGCTGGCGGTGGATTTTCATCTTGGAGGGACTTCTCACCGTTGCGGTCGCCCTTGTCGCCCCGTTTGCGATCCACGACTTCCCAGAGACAGCCACCTTTCTGACCGAGGAAGAGCGCCGGTGGGTGATTCACAAACTGCGGTCTCAATCCGGACGCGACACAACGCAAGACGGAGCAGTCCATGAGGAGTCGCGCTTCCGCGTACGCTACGTGATTGATGCGTTGACGGACTGGCAGATCTACGTCGCTTTGTTTAGTATGTTTCCACCTCTGCGTTGCTCGACGACTCGGTAGACTAACTGATCAGTGTACTGGGGGATCACCACCCCTCTCTATGGTATCTCGTACTTCTTGCCGTCCATCATCAAGGACCTGGGGTACAAGTCTTCAACKGCGCAGTTGCTCACGGTGCCGATCTACATCGCCGCGGCCATTGTGGCTGTCGGTGCAGCCTGGCTATCGGACCGTCGCAAGCAGCGGTCTCCGTTCATTCTCTTCTTCATGTCGTTAATTGCCATCGGCTTTATCATTGTCATTGCCTCCACCGGTCGGGGAGTACCAGGGGTTGTCTACTTCGGTGTCTTTGTCGCTGTCGTCGGTAAGTTTTCATTCCCAAAAAAACAGAAACCAGTCTGACAAGGCCAGGTATCTATCCTGCTTTCCCAGGAAATGTCACCTGGCTCAGCGTCAACCTGGCCGGGGACTACAAGCGTGCGGCCGGAATGGCCATCCATATCGGGTTGGGTAATATGGCCGGTGGTACGTCTCTTGTTGATGCTTTAGATGGGAAAATGCTAATTTTGCAGCCATGGCATCCAACTTTTACCGCGCGCAGGACGCACCCAGGTATATTCTGGGCCACGCATTGGAGCTGGGTTTCGCGGTGGTCGGAATCATTGCAGTGGTGATTCTGCGGTTGTCGTATCAGCGCATCAACAAGAAACGGGACCAGATGGATGTCTCGGGCTATGATAATGCTCAGTTGGCCAGGATGGGCGATCGGTCGCCTTTGTTTAGGTACATGCTGTGATGGCTGTTGATTGGTAAAGTCTGTGTGATAATGGGCAACGAGAATTTATTATTACGAGCGATGTAACCAAACAGACTAAGGTACCTAAAAGGAGTCCGTATTTAAGCGAGATGAATTCTGGTTGCTGAGCGATGATTGGCGGAATAGGAAACCCTGCGGACCCTGTGCTAAGCTACTCTGATCAAAGCTTTCTACTAAAACGAGGTAGTTTCAGGCACCAGAGGCACTAGTTGTCTTAGGACATACTTAGCTGCTCTCTAAACAGCCATGGCTGAGTCCAGGCTCGTTTCTGTTCTTGGCAGTGAAAGTTCAGATTGACAGGAATTGGTCTCGTGAGGATGGAAGAGTTTTTATCGTAATCCTGTCTGTAATTGGATTTAGTGATCGGTCACTGACTAAGACGATTAATTATATCCAGTCCTTCTCAGGATCTTTAGGTATATGTTGACAGTGTATCCATGGGAATCAGGTCTGCCCTATACGAAGATTAACTAGCCTCCTGATTCAAGGGTTCTGGAGGCTAAGCTAACATAGTACTCTAGTCTAAGTCATAACAAATAGTAACAACCATAGCTGATTCGCTATGTCTCACATGGACTAAGGCGTTCTTCCTTTTCTTAAATGAGGCTCTCATTCCCACATTCAACATCTTAAATCTGTCTACTTACTATCCCTCAACAGCTGTACACCATCATGGCGGGCACTGTCTCCTTCCGCGGAAGAGACTGGATTCACTTCGGCCTGCGCATCCTCTTCTGCGCATCTGCAATCGCTCTTCTGGCCGTCACAGCACGCCTAGCAACAGGATGGGGAGGAGACAATGAGGAACCCCCGATTTTGCTTCCCATCGTTCTAGCCACAGTGCGCCACACTTCTTCTTCTTTTTTTGGCAAAAACTAACCTGACTACAGGCTTCCCTTACGATCGTCACAGACGTCCTCGCTCTATTCTTTCTTTTCCGGTATATCGGCTTCATCACGGCGACGGCCATCCTCGACATCCTCGTCATCATCCTCTGCGCTGTTGGGGCTGTCTCCCTTACAGAGGGTGACTTTGCTTTCTACTGGGGGCTTTACTATCATGATTACCTGTCAATGTCGGGGCAGGCGGAGATTATCGTCTTTGCGTTGAATATTCTTGTCGCGTAAGTGGGCCAGCCCAGTCGCTGAGTATGGATCGAGACTAATGAGGGTTGTTGCAGATGGGAGAGGATTCTTTCGATCATTTTGTGCTCTGTTTCTCGTAGGGGCCGGTTGGTGAATGAGGATGCTAAGGAAGTGCCAGTTCAGGCGCAGGTCTGCTACCAATAGTGTTCTTCTGGATGTCCCTTAATACTGCATACTGCACTTAATGGAAATGCATGCCAACTTCTGGCAGAGCATCTCATCCCAATTTAAAGTTGATTTACAGCGATGTACCCTGTGCCATGACCTGTGGCACCGACAGCCGCCGTCCCTGTTCATCGCAGATCTTGACGACCCTCGGCGTGATCACCATCCCCTGTTTCCCTGGATAATCCCAGAGGAACTCAAACGCACAGGGCTGCGCGAACAGCCACCGACCCAATTCCGCCGCGGCGGAGGCTACGGACTTTAAATGCTGGACGCGCTCTGCCCTGGTATGCGCGGGATTGGCATAGCCAGCGAAAGTGTCGACAAATCTCTCTGCAAGCCTGTCGATAGCATGGTCGTCCACGTCACGAGCGGCCTGCTGATGCTGGTAGAGGTACGCTGTCAGCATACGCCACTTAAATAGCACTTGGTCTGTCTCTGTGATGTGTCAGTTTCCCAACAATCTTTGCAGTGCGTAAGGCGCACGCGTACCTGGTGTTTGATTCGCGATCTGCGGACATGCCGCGTAACATGCAGGCAGGAGTCCCCCCTTTCCTGGCCTGGGGGTGATCTGCTGTAGTAATTCCCGAACAAGGACATGCGTGAGGACACCGCGCTGTCTGCCTGGTTTAGCCAGCAAGGTTGCGATGGGTGACGGCAGGTACGGGGACTCGTAGCTTGCCAGAGACGTAGTCGAGTCATGCGGATTAGATGACGCTCCAGAAGAGTAGTAGTTATCGACGTGGAGACTGGCATGGTCGAAGAGCGTGAGGATCCGCGCGCGTACTGTCTCATCATCGGCAGGTTGAGGAGTATAATGGGAGGATGCAGATGCTCCTAGAGGCAGTGGTGGATGTTGCGGTGGTTTCTCTTCGGGATACTGCTCTGAACGCCCCGCGCCTGCGCCTTTTCTACGCCGACGGAAGAAGAGAAATGCACCCAGGATTGTGAGTGCGGCGGTGCCGATGATGCTGCCGACGATCGCACCAGCTAGAGCGCCGGTGCTCACATTGCTTGGCGACGGAGTAGGTAGACTACTCTGGGTACTATGGGCACTCGCAGTGCTTGACGCAGTGGCGTTGGCGACTGTGCTGCTCGAGCTGAGAGAGATGCTGGAGGGTGTGACAGAGGTGATCTGCGATGGAGTTGAGTGAGAACTTGGCGTAGATGTAGTGGTTAACACTGCTGAGATTGATGAGGATGTCGCTGCGGCGCTCGTCAAGGCTGGTGTGGTCGGTTCCTGACTAGGTAGGGCAGAGGACGACGTCGTGCTCGACGGAGCCCCCCATGGCGTCGTTGTGTCAGTGCTCGAGGAGGACGGCGTAGTGGCGGCCATTCTGTGAAGAGCTTCAGACGGATGTACGCGCACTTTGGGATGGAGCGAGGGATTTGCGTACTCTTATGAAACCAGGCTGTAACCCTGCATGGTTGGAAGTATGCACATCCTCGAATCCGGCTTAGTGAAACAACACATTTCATCAAAGAGAAATCACTCCGGATTCAATCAGGCTGAGATTCACGGTGGTTTTACCACTTTGAGGCTGGTAAACGACCTTGGCTCTTCGCTGATTCGCTAGAGCATCAACCCTGGTCAGGAGGTACTGCGCTGTAGCTGCGCCGCAATTTCACTACAGAGGGATTGCCAACGCCATGACCTTTCCGCCAAGGGTATTTTTCTCCCATATCTCCAGGGGCGTAGGGTCGCAAAAAACCTTGAGTATGGCCAACGTTTCTCCTCTGTTTGACGATGGACGAGAAGGAAGTTGTGGCAATCCATAAATCCTGGGACGATGACTGGAGACCAGATATCGTAGTTGGGGTTGATTTTGGAATGACCTGCACAGGTACGACGTCTCCAATAAGTTTTGGACGTATCAACACTTATGAGTAACAGGAGTCGCCTATTCAATCGGCCCAGAATGGCTTCCCCCGAGGACCATCCAGCGATGGCCGGGAAAGCTCATTAGCGAGTTGGCCAACAAAGTGCCCACTGCGATTGAATATGAATCTGCCTCGCACAATGTCAAGTCATGGGGGTTTCTCTGTAATACTGAGGAGCCAGCCTCGGACATCAAGGAGTATTTCAAGCTGCATCTGGCTCCTGGCAGTCACCCTGACGGAAAGATCACACGGTCAGAAGCACAGCGATGGCTTCAGGACTATATCCGGTGCATCTGCCAGCATGTCACTGCGCATTTCAGAGACACTCTTCCCTCCTTTGCTTCCTGCAAGGTCGAGTGGGTATTTAGCGTGCCCACAACGTGGAAAGATGTTCGTATGGTTGAAGAAACGCGGCACCTACTGCAGCGAGCGGTCAACACGGGCAGTCTGGGGATGTTACCAGAATATAATCGAGCCGTCATTGGGCTCACTGAGGCAGAGGCTGCAGCTGTATATGCTTGCAAGGAACACTATCAGGTGAGATTATCTACGGAACTGCCGTCAATCTGTGTTAAGTGCCGCAGGTGAATGACATCGTCCTCGTTTGTGATGCGGGAGGTGGAACCACAGTAAGTAAAGCTCAATCTGTATGCATCAGTCGTCCGCAGCTGCTAACTGTGGAGGACGTAAACATTCTCCAACTCAAGTCCGGGCGAGGCCAGCCAACGAAGCTCGATCAGTTCGGCAGCGTTGAGGGTATGTTTCTCAGAAGCCTTGGAAGTCTACAGCTGAAACTAGTCAGGACGACCCATTGGCTCTGTTTTTATCGACCGCGGGATGCATAGCCTTATTTGCGAACGGCTATCCAAGGTTCACGACAGACTGGATATGTCTCCGTCACACACGGCATGGAGGATGATCCTCGGTCGATTCCAGAGACTGAAATGCGCGTTCGGTACAGCTGCAGCAGCAAATACCCCAAGTCTCAAATTAGATGTTCCCGGCCTCAAGCCGGGTCCTGACCTCCCCGAGGCAGACATTTATGACGGCCAGATGAGCATTTCTTGGTATGTGTCGGGTGCGCTCACAGGTCGTGTAGAAGGCGATAGCTAATCTGCCAGGGATGATTTGCAACATTGCTTTGACACAAAAATAGCCGAGATGTTTGACTTGCTCGATGGCCAACTCCGACACATGCATGATCGATTCGCAACTGAACGCATTGTACGGTCACCTGCCTAGCTAGTTGCAGACCTTAAACTGACACATCCAGTCATACCTCATTCTGTCGGGGGGCTTTGGAAGCTCACCGTATGTTCGCAAGCGACTGATGGAAAGGTACAGCAGTGAGATTGGGAATGGACACGGCAATACAACAGCCATGCGGATCTTGATGGCCGAGGAACCGTGAGTTTTGTGTCATCTACCCTATTTCCAGTGCTGATGACACAAAGGCAGCTTGCCGTTGTCCACGGTCTAGTCCTGGATCGCATCCAGCTACTCAAGCGAGGTGTCGTCACTTTTGGATCTCGATGCTCTCCGGTCAGCTACGGGATCATTTGCGATCAGCTTTACGTCCCAGAGAAGCACGCGGGAGAGATTATCCGGCGGGATCCGCACGATCAGCTTAGTTATGCAATTGACCAGGTAGATTGGCTGGTTGTCCAGGTACGCAATCCAGTCCAAAAACACTGACATGGGTATTAACAGTAGCAGGGCTCAGCCGTTCCTTCAACCGGGTTCGAAAAAGAGTTTCAGCTGAAGCTGGAGCCCGGCCGGGAAGCTGAGACCTTCCAGGTCCACATTGTCATGTCGATGTATCCGCCCACGCTGCTCCCAAAGAGTATGTCTCACAAGGGGGTCGAGCGAGTATGCACCCTGCACATTTCGACCGAGGGAGTAGACAAGAAGCTCAAGAACCGCCACTGGTATAGCCGAAAGCCGGTGTTCTGGAAGGGTACGTTTAGCGTCAGAGTCGTGGTCGGACCCGCAGACCTTGCGTTTCAATTGTGGTCCAAGGATCAGAGGATCAGGAGCAGCAGTCATCCGCCGATTGCTGTAAAATGGATGTCTGCCGGGGTTTAGCTGTAGTTGATTATAAGGATGGACAAGAAGGGAAGGTATGACCTCGKAGGTATAGTGCTTCTCTTTGGAAATGGATGATACTACTCGCATTTATGTACACTCGTCTGAAAGCTACCTGGTTCGCTCTCTCAGCCATTGACTCGAGTTGATGCCATCGATGCCATCGATGCCATCGATGCCAGTTTGTATCTATTCAGATGCATGTCTAGGGGAGGATGCCTTCGATCATGCACACGTGCCAGATAAAAACAGGAGATATTCTGTTTCGACGTTACTTTCTTGCAGACTAATTCAGAGTCAAGCCCAAAGTTGTTGAGCTTGAAGCCATTATGGAAACAGTTCGTGAACTCCTAATCTCACTGCCATTGACTAAACGAATACTTCCAAGGACATTCCGAAAGCCACAATTGTAATGCTACGTACCGATGGTGACCTCTACCATCATTGAATCTAGCTAATAAATCCACTCCCTTTTTACCACTCCACCCCATTCAAATGTTTCACTTACCCTTTTCCAAGTATTTCGGGCCTAGACAATGTTCATATTGTTTCACATGCCAGTTGCATACGACGTACGACGCATCTAGTAGGAGAAACGCTCCCAAGCTTCACAATATGAGCGGACTGTTTAGCTCCGGCCAATACCGCCACCGCAAGAATGCGAAGATTATGGTGCTCGCGCTCCCGAGAAATCGAGACAACCTGCAATTCTTAGTTGCGTACTTCACCGAATTCACCGAAAGAAGCAACACTTACCTTAGAGTGTAGGAAGCCCCACGAGTACTGCAGCGGCAGCCTCAACAGCAGCTGGCAGGAAACCGCACCCCAAGAGTATGCAACAGCAGGACCAATCTCGGCTGCGAGTGCCAGGTGGCCCGTGACGGAAGCCCACGACCCCAAAGAGGAAGATCCGAAGGAGGTTATCTCTCACCAGCGGCATGTGTGTCCTCTCCTTTGCGAAAACCGAATCGCCGCGTAGATGACTGCGAAGTTGATGGTGAGACCGGCTAGGACGACACCCCGTTCGATCGTGTTAGGAGACGGGTGTATCAGCCCGTAAACCACTTCCCAGGCGACGTTGCTGCACAGGGGCATGATTGCCATTCCGTAGGTTCGATCTTGAAATGACTTGTGCAATATCCCAGTGTAGTTAATCGCCCAGCCGACTCCCATAAGGAGGATGAAGACGTCAACAGTTGGCTTAACAGCCTGGTAGGCTGGCAGTGCATTGGCATCATCAAAGCCATCCATCTTTGTAATCTCTTTTCAATTGCCGAGCTCAGTAATCCCACAGATGTGCGGTTTGATAATTGTAGGCGTGCGGACTGGTGCGGGTTCTGCAAAGACAGCTTTGAGTGCGGGATCAGTAATAACTTTGAAGTACTCGGTAATGATATGAATAACCAAAGATCTCGAGACTCGCTACTGTCAATTTATTATCCAAAGTTTGCACATATGCTATAGATGCAACACAACACCGGCCTTTGGGGGATGTTACATTTCGACCTTGATCCAACTACAAGGTATCGTCAAACAGCACATGCTGTCATCTCAAGCAAAATTGACTCTGGTGGATGTAATACCGTCATCATTACTTGACTGCATTCCGTACTGCTACTCGCCTTAAGAAGTGGTCGCCCCCTTCAGTCCTTTCCGGGGAGATACTGAACCCTCCTTTATTCTTGTACTGGCCAGACTTGTCTCGCAAAATGTACTCGCAAATTCCCTGGGACCTCACTATCCACGATCCTCTGACCGGCCGGCTCTTAGTGCTGTACATGCTTACCCATGCCGTGATCGTAGCGATTCGTCTCATCACCGAGCGAAGGAGCTCGAGCCAGCACTACCACCTCCCTGGAAAGAAACAGTCTGCTACCATAACCCCAACGAATGTCCATATAGCTACATTCGTCAGATCTACGACCATCACCACTGGTCACTCTTTATCAAAAGACTAATCGCCAGGCTTCCCTGACTCCTGATTCTCCTAGCAATAAAGAAGGTCACGAAACCTCGGGCATGAATGCAAGCAACGCAGACCTTTTCTCAATGACTCATGTGGCGATCCGGAGCCGGGAAGGTGGTGCACGTTAAGTTCCCTTCAAACATAAAAAGGCTGTCAAGTCTCGTAGACATGGACTGCAGATAAACTACGACTGCTATCAGGAGCATGTTAGCGAGTATATTGTAAGATAAAGCAATAGGCAATCGCCTTATTTCAGTCCCTCCAACCCCTCCCGAACTACCAGTGTCCACCAGCCATATCGACGATCCGTGAGTAAGAAAAGAAGAAACACAAAATCAGTGTCAGGAATGTATGATTTAGCTACTCTTGGCATCACTGATATGCCCTTCATTATATTCAGTTATACTGGTTCTAGCACATACGACCATAGGGTGTGAAAAACAGGTTTTCCCGTCCGCTCAGCCGTACATAAGCCACACGCGCTATGCCCATGCTAACGATAAAATTAACTTAGCTCGACAGAGAAACGGGTGGTCGCCGCCCTACAGTCATTTGACTTTAAGTGAGAAGGGTGAGTATACAAGAAACAGGGCTATTGTCAGCCTCCCTCGCACGACAGCGCTAGACCGAAGTGGAAATATGGTTCAATATCGTTGATCGCATGGGCATAAACTCAAACACACAACCCCTTGCTATTTGCATCCCTCATTCAATCTGATCTTAATATAAACTATATAATCTTCCTAGATATTTCACGCACCCAAGAATAGCTCAATTTGCTTCGCGTAGATCTCCGGAACCTGGTAGAGATGGCCGTGGCCTGCGTCCGGGTAGAGATGCAGCTGCGCGTTACGTAGCTGCTGCAGTAAGATGTAGCTGTTGGAAGTTGGGGTCATGATGTCAGCTTTCCCATTGGTGACCAACACGGGCGTGTCGACTTGCTTGAGCTTTTCGAAAAGCTCACTGTCCGCCGCAAACTTTCCAATCGCGGCCTGCTGCGTTGCGGCACCAGCTTGGTCAAGGAACCCGCGCCATTGTTCACCCTCGACCTGACGCTCCTTTGTTCTCTCGAACCACGCATGACCGAGCGCACGACTCGTGGAAGACGGGTAGAAGAAGAGTTTCAACATATCTTCTTCTGAGGGCACGGCTCCGCCCGCAATTTCCATGATCTCAGGATCTCCAAAAACCACACCTTCCGTGTAACTTGACTGAGTTCCCGCGAGGATCAGCTTGTTCACTAGGCGAGGATGGCTAACAACGATGTATTGGGCAATCATGCCACCCAAAGAGAAGCCGAGGATGTCGACTTTCGAGACGCCAATGCTGGTGAGAAAATCCACGACCGTTGAGCCCATCGCTTCGAGGGTGTCTTGGACAGCGCCTTCACTGTGGCCAACGCCAGCATTGTCGAACAGGATCACCTCACGATTTTCGGCAATGGTATTGATGAGCAATGGATCGATAAGGTCCATGGATCCGCGGAAATGAGTGAGGAAAATTAGGGGAACACCACCCAGTTTTCCGAAGCGTCGGTAGCCAAGTTTCACCCCCTTGACGGAGGCAAAGAGCGTCGGGGTAGTTTGAAAGGTCATTGAAACGGGCTTGTTATGTTCTTTCTTTTCTCTTTAAGATATGGAGCTCGTGTACGAGTAGAGGATCAAATGACAGGAAGACTAGTGATCCAAATATAGCGACGCTTGAAGGGTTTTATATATCAGGACTTGTACGCAGCATGCTTCAAAGCATTGTGCTGTGAGCACCACATCATTCGAGTCTTTCGGCGCCATATCCGTTAACTCCGTACATTTTCCTAGGAAAATAAAGCCTGGTCATCAATTGAGGCAGAAAACACTTGAGTGGTTAAATCCGTACCCGAGGTTCGGGGCGTTGAATAATCATGAATTAGTAATGAAAGATCATCCTGGGTGGGTAACGTTGGTCTGTGGACTTTTCCCATAAACTCCGGGCCCACTCTATGCAAGTTGGGTAAGGGGCTTGAAGCCTTTGGAAGTCTAAATGGACGTGCACAGAGACGAGAACCAAGGTTTCTGCCTCAGAAGCCACCCCTACGCGTCCGCAGGCCACTGAAGGTGACAATGCACAGCGTTAAGTATTGAATAAAGATCTCAGGCCATACAAAGGCTTAAATCTCATTTGAGATTTCTTGAGGATTTGTCTTTGCTGAGAGACCTGTATTGGGGGTCAAGGCCATCGGCCTCTTTTACCTATACTGGCTTCTCCCTTCCGCTCTGTTCTCCACCACTTGTACAATAACTTCGTGTTGCCCATAGCTTTTACATTAAACCCAATGGACAAAAAATGGCATCCAAGCGTAATTGGATCACTATACAGGTAGAGACTTGATAGCGACTCAGCGACCACCAAGGGCAAAGCTAAGTGAAAAGAACCAAAGCGAACTATCAGGAGCAGTGTATTATTGAGTACAATCTAAGGACAAGATACCAGGTTGCCCAAGGAGAAGACAACGGTAACCACGACTATGGAATTACAGGAACTAATAGAAGATACAGACGGCGACGGTGGTGGCCTCTCATCTCAGTAAGACCCCTAAAGGTCACTTGCCAGCGCGCTGATTTTGCCACGACAAATAGTGATCTTTCAGCAGCTGCTCCGCTGGACGGTATGAGAGCCCCAGCTCCCTGATACTCTTGCTGTTGTTGACCTTGTAGGAGATGCCGATGTTTCGTGACACCCATTTCATGGGCAGGCCGATGAAGGGTCCTGCGGCGAAGACAAGGAGTTTCGGAAGATTGCGCGTGGGCAAAGACTCGGGCTTGTGATGAATTCCCCTCACGTAGTTTGCCATATCCAGCAAGCAAATACTGCGGTCACTGGCGATGATGTACCTCCCCTTGGCAGAGGGACTTTTTCCTGCTCTGATGTGCGCTTCAGCCACATCCCGCACATCTGCCACAGGGTAGTGTAGCTCCGGAACCCCCGAGCGATTCTCGCCCTTGTACATAGCATCCAGCATGAACAGGCTACCGGATGCGGAGTCGGAGGTGAGTGACGGGCCGAGGACGAGGCCCGGGTTGATAACCACAAGGTCCCAGCGTTCCTGAGCGTCACAAATTTTCCAGGCCTCACGCTCAGCGACTAGCTTAGAGTAGCTATAAGGACTGTAGGTGGCAGTGCTCGTCGTATTCCAATAGTCTTCAGACAAGGTCTTGTCCTTCATCTTGAGGATATCCCAACTATCACCGTACATGGCCGCGACTAGGTTAAGGCGTTATGAATTAGGCATACGCTTAGAGAAACAGATCGGAAGTTCCACTTACTGGATGACGTTAAAACGACGCGTTTAACGCTCTCGGTCTTGTTCACAGACTGTAGAACATTGTTCGTGCCTTGAAGAGCAGGCTCGACGCATTCTTTCATGCCGTTTTTGATTTGTTGTGGGACTAAGAACGGCGAGGCGACGTGGTAGACAACCTCACAGCCCTCCATCGCTTGCAGGAAAGAGCCATCCTTCATCAAATCAGCCTCAAAGAGTTTCAACCTGCCTGGATACGTCTGTTGCATATCAAGCAGGGGCTTGCACTTCGAAAGGTTCTTCAGGCTGCGGACAGTGGTGTTGACGAGATCACCCCTTTCGAGCAGACATTTTACCACATGAAGGGCAATGAAGCCGGAGCCTCCTGTAACAAGCGATTTTTGCATTGCCGCTGTCTTCAATTTGTGCACTCTCACTTCACAAAGTACCAGATCTTGGCTGCAGATGGATGTCCAGATATCGTTTGATCACTTTGATGATTCCTCTTCTCGCCGTGACGAAGCATCCTTTTATCGGCGCCAGGAGAGGAAGATCGCCGGAGATAAACGGATGTAAGGAGATATTTAATGTTTGTAGTTCAGAGAGGTCTTCAGATTAGCGGCGTCAGCAGAACTTGAAGACTGAAAGATGGATCAGCCGGGAGGGTGCGCTACATGGCGATCTCGATTGCAAAGGCCGGAGATAAAGTACGATTGAGTAGAGCACGAGAAGTCCAAATTAGTTTGAGGCGTACGATATGGCAATACCCTACGGCTCAATGAGCCTGTACGGCTTTCTATCGCCATTCCCAGCCCTGAAATTGCCACCAGGTGGGTCACCTAGGCTGGATGGAGCAGTCTCTGAAGATATTTTGGTAATCCACTAAGTAAGCTTATCAAAAGTGAGGCCTATATGTGTGATTAGTGATCAAAAAGTGCTACATACGTTGGTAGGGTAATTCATAAGCGAGTGAGACACCCGGAAACACCACCTCAAACACGATAATTACAACTTCATATCTTGACAAGCATATCTCTGTATAACAATTTATATGATCTTGATAGCAAACCTAGCCCACTTCTACGGTATAGGAAAATTATTTTCAGTAAGGATGGTAACATGCTTATTCGTGTCTCAACCGTCATGTTTACACTCTTCAATAATCAATCCACGTGGGGTGCGATTTAAAGTTTAACCTTAAAGTGGGCCGAAAAGGCCTCATCTAAGGTAAAACCAGCCCCACGCCACACGTCACGCCTTACGGTGGCTCTGAAAGCATATCGTTGGCAAGGTGAAGTAACTGTTGAATTACGGAAGCACGCCGAAACCCTAAAAAATCTGCCTCCGAGTAGTCATGATAGGCGCGGTTCCATCGATCACTCATCAGACGCTGAGACTCGGGGAGTCTATTCATCCGAGACGGCGTTTATTCAACGGAGTTAAGGCTGGAGGAGAGTTTGACTTACTACTCTCATTAAAAACATTTCACCATTCGCTACTTAAATGCAGTTATCCTGGGCAGGCAGGCAGGCTGTTAATTAGAGATTCCTCCAATGTCAAGGTCTTGAGCATCATCAGTTTTTGACCTTCGAACGTTCGGTTCCCTTGCTCTCGTCATCGACCCATATAATGTCGGAAGGACTTATTTTCGTTACCGGAGCCTCCGGGTTCATCGGTTGCGCTACAGCACTCGAGGCCCTGAAGGCCGGGTATCGGCTTCGTCTGAGCGTCCGAAATGAAGCTCAGGTCCCGAAGATCAGATCAGCCCTCTCGCCTTACTCGGATAACGTGGAGTTTATCGTTGTTCAAGACATTACCAGACCAGACGCCTTCGCCGGGCATCTGGTCGGAGTCGACTATGTTCTGCATATTGCTTCGCCTCTACCTAAGGGAACGACGAAGGAGGACTACTTCCCTGGCGCTATCAGCGGGACTACAGCTATTCTTTCTGAGGCGGCCAAGGTTGCGAGCATCAAGAGGGTCGTCATCACCTCTTCCATTGCGTCTTTGGTGCCTCTTGGCGGTGTGCCTTCGGATGATCCAATCAGCGAACACAATGACAATTGGAACACTACTATCTCTGCTGATCTTCCGGTTTTCGAATCCTCGGCAAATCCCCACCCGCTGATTCTCTACCAAGCCAGCAAGCTGTTGGCACTGGAGGCAGCTGAATCCTTCGTCTCGACCTCTAGCCCGGGCTTTGACATGGTCACAATCCATCCCTCTTTGGTGTGTGGACCGGATGTTCTCCAGTCCTCTCCGGCTGAAGTAGGTGGCAGTAATGGGGTGCTGTTCGGTGCAGTCATGACTGGGGAGGTTGTACCTGATCCTAGTGCTTTGACACTTGTACACGTCAACGATGTCGCCGAAGCACATATTAAGGCATTGAAACCCAGCGTCTTGGCCGGCAGATACCTGGTCAGCTCCCCCGGTGGGGTTAGATGGTCTGACATTGTGGCCATTCTGAAGAAGAAGTTCCCGGGAGAAAATTTCAAGCTCAAGGAGGAGGCGGAAGGTCAAGGTTGGAACGTTGACACGACCAAGGCAGAGAAAGGCCTTGGTCTCAAGGCACGAGGATTGGACGAAATTGTCGGAGACACTGTGGAATTTCAACTGCGGTTGTTGAAGAACTCCAAAATCTAGGCACATGGTCGATATTGCTGGCCTGATGACATCGTGGGGAGACACTAACTTATATAGATACCATGGATTCTTGTATTAAGATAGAGGGGATCATAAAGAACTGAATACATGTACATTCTGGTTTCTGTTTTTACATCAATTTTAGCACGCATAAGTCTGTCGAGTCTCGTAGCCTTGGACTGCAGATAATCTACCACTGCTACCAGGACCGTGGTAGCGGGTATATTGTAGGACAAAGCAATAGGAAGTCGCCTTATTCAGCTCCTCCGGCCGCTCCTGAACGACMCAGTGTCCAATCGATACTGAGGATCCGTGAATGAAACACGAAACAAAACATCTTCAGCTTCCAGAGTAGATGATTTAGCCATTTATAGGTGCACTAGTATCCTTATCATATTCAGTTCTCATAATCCTAGCACATACGACCATAGGGTGTGGAAAACAGGGCTTCCCGTCCGCTCAGCCGTACTTAAGCCACACGCCGGCCGGTTAGTAGTTGGGTGGGTGACCACCAGCGAATCCCGGCTGTTGTATGTTTTCGTCTTTTTTGTTATATTTCGTGATGTTTTTTAATGGCCTTGACGGAAGTGATGAAGATGGCACTGCAGAGAGGAAGTGCAGTCTAGTCCCCTAAAGAGTCGTGCGTGGCCAGAAACAAGGTCCAACACGTGATGCGTTAGCCCTAACCCATCAAGCATCGAAACTTATATTGGCATAGCCAGATGAAGGCGGTTGTAGATGGGCAGTAGTTGCTTTTTGTTTTATACTTGCTAGTAAAGTTTCTCCTCACTGTGCTCTGTCAAATGCTGGGAATGGAGGACTCGGATTCTGGACATTAGTCCGTAATCAGATAGGATTAGGAGTGAATCTTGACCTACCCTAGTCTAGTGAGTAGTGACTCATTTCCATAGGAACTACCTTAGTCAAAGTACCTACTATGCTGTAGGCAATTTATGGCATCCTTCTACTAATTCACTACTAATGTAACCAATTAATTTAAAATTCCAGGGAGTGAGTCCTAGATGAACCATCAAAGTCCTGTAGTAGTGGATATCTGAAAAAACTCCTTTTGCTATGTGTATGCTGTTTTGCATGGCGAATTTTATGCTTGGCTAATGCTAAAAGAAAAGACTAAACTAACAGACATTGTCTGTAATCCCAGTTGTAGCTACTGCACCTTTGTTTAGGATCATCGACATAGGGGTACGGACTATCGATACCAAGTAGAGTTCGGGCTAATAATAGCGCGGCTTTACAATGCACTGAAGGTACAAAACCGGCCAAAATAAAATCTCCTCTTGCGCGTCACGTAGCGGGTGTTTGGCATTCATCACATCTAAGTTACTTATGGGTGCAGGGGTCAACAAGTACATAAACAACAACAATTCTAATGTCTGGCAATAGACAAGTGCTCGCATTGACGTACAGTTCCCCCTGAATCATCTTGAGGGGTGTCAGACCTGCAGGCCGATTGCCGCCCTTGTTCAGCGAGGATTCTCTTGACGAGACGAATTGCCTCTCGAATCCATAACTTGAGAACCCACCAATCCGAGTCCAACGAAACAAGAACCGAGTATTTCAGCACAAAAGACGAAAATATCAGACCAGAAAGCAAGATGGGGTTGAGCAGTGAACAACTGGTTGAACAGGCACGCTGTAGGGACGCAGAGTTCCCCCCAACTCCATGGCGGTGGATCGACGGACCAGGGTTTCGTGTACCCTGGGAAGCATCTAACCGAGTAGACATGGATGGGATGGCTAGGTGGTGGAAGCTTGTGGACGCCGTCTGGGACTACGATGTATGGGGATATCCGCCCGCGTTCACACGGTTATCGGATGCGGTTGTCTCCAAGCTTCTCCTCAAGAAATTGCCACGGTTCGCTCTGAGAACTGGCCATTTGACTTCAACAGCAGAGGCCAAATGAGGTTCGAGCGCGAACCGCAGGGTCCAGCGGTGTGGATTGAGCGCAAGGGCCGATACTACTATCCCGAAATTGGAGGGCGATATGTCCTGGGCGGGGAAATAGCAAGAATGATGGATTCTTGGTTCATTGAGCCACCATCGTATGATACCAGGAGGGATTCGATCTACTTTGGGCGTGTCGAGGTGCCCAACTGGGTAAAGGACCAAGGCGCCATCATCATCTCGTCGCGGGGTGTTACGGGTCTGACATTCGATGATGAGGACCGCGTCTCTTGGGATGGCATGTCGGTGACTCCAGTTATTTGGACCAAGGAAGTGAGCCTCGAATGCCCTACCAGCCTTACGCGAGACACTGTTTTCACTGAGGTGGAAACCGAAAGTGGCCAAGTTGTGATCCTAGTGTCGCTTATGGTCCAGATGAGGAACCAGAAGACGCTCATGACTCCAAAAAGATAATCCACGTGAAAAAGGAGGAGGTTAAAAGGGAGGCCGTGAAAAAAGAGGTCATGAAAAAAGAGAGAATTGCCATCAAGTCGGAGGCGGTAAATGGAAGCCAGAGACTTCACCTTCCGCGTACGCCCAAGCGGAAACCAGAGTCCCAGGTCAACAGTCGCAGCAAACGTAGCAAAGCCACGTCGAGTGATTTTAAAGAAGAGGACGCTCCGATCAAGTCAGAGGCGGTAAATGGAACCTCCGAACTTGACCTTAAGAATGAACCTGCTACCAATCCACCTATCACCACCCCTCAGCAACAGTCTTCAGCACACAACCAGACTCCCCGTATACTCAAGAGGGAACCAGAGTCCCACATCGTCACCGGTCACAACAGACGTGGCAGAGCTAGGTCAAGTACCTTGATCCAGGGCAGCAGGACTGAATCATGGGTGGAAATGGCGTCCACGATGATCCGCCAGGCAGTCTCTGCGGACAGGGAACATCAGGCGCTGATTCGAAGTATTCGCGAGGACGTCAAATCTCTTCAATCCAGAGTTGATGCTTTGAAGGCGTCAGCACCGCTGCCTAAAGCTCTAGAGGATGTCCGGAAACTCATGGCTGAGCACGAAGACGACGAGCTGGGGACAGAGCAGATCGCGAGAACGATGCAAACCATCCTGCAGAAGCTCCCTTCTTGATTTCCACGAGATATCCCTGCAGTCCATGAGTATGTTGATAGCAGGCGCGAGTATGTCACCTTCTTGATCTACACTTCAGAGGCCTGGATGGGGACGATCAGCCATAATTCAAATATATGCACAAAACCCATCATCAAACCAAAGGAAGTATGAATTTGATACACACTGAAGAATAGCCCAATAGTACTGTATTCTAGTGTATTGTATCCTGTTGTTTTGCAGTTCGCAGATAGCAACAGCCTGGAAAGGAGAGAGAGCTCGTACTTTGATTAGGAGACTGATGCAAATGAGCAAACCAAAGATTGGAAGCTAGCAAAGCGGAAGAAGCAAGTACATAGCTCAGTCATACTGTTTACTGTCAGCAATTCGTTCGGACACAGCCAGCACAAATCTATTCAGGTAGTACGAGACGGCGACGTGATAGACCACTCTATACACACAGGACGCATTCTCACTATCAGTATCCATGACACCTTTAACCTCATCACTAGATATGGTATGTCAGGCAGCATTTTCCAAGCGCTGATGGCTTGAGGAGAAGCAGGTAAAGAGATAGAACCTTGATCCGATTTTGTCAATGAATTGGTGTTCTGGTCAGCGTAGTGAAGTGGAGAACATGGCTGGGACATCAAGCTGGAGATCTGGCTCACTGGAAGGTACAGAGCATTAAGCTCATATAAAAAAATAAGGTGAAACCGCCCAAGAAATCCTCGATGGTCTAACGGTCATGATTTCCGCTTGTCACTCCAAGGAGAACGAGCGCGGGAGACCAGGGTTCGACTCCCTGTCGGGGAGATTTCTTTTTCTTTAATATTTATACTCTCTTTTTCTTTTTTTCACTCCTTTCTCTTTTTCAGGAGAGTCATATTTATGTTCTGATTCCCTTGGTATTTTATTATTGCGCTTCCAAGGCGTTAATTGCATCTTCTTCAAGGATTTGTTCATTTGAATGCGAAAAGGCAACATGTAAGAGATATCTCGCTTACTCCGCTATATAAATCTACAGATAAACCGCATTCCAGATCTCCGACAATCTTCCATCCCATGTTGTGAAATCGTCTACTCGCACCAGCGAATACCCTGAATCTTCCAACTGACGCCCATTTTTCGCCTCCCATCGCCTCCCAGCAGCGGAAAAATCGCCAAACCAGCTATCCTGCAGCCCAATCTCGAGCTTCTCCCACTGTCGGGAAGACGCCAGCTCCGACCAGGGGCGAATCCAGGCTTCATCCAGCTCTTCTGGAACGGTTCCTGCTCGCGGAGTGCAGCTTTTGTTCAAAATATGGATAACCAAGCGCAAGCGCCGGACGCCAACGTACGCTAATCGCAATGTCCGGAAGAGTGTCTGGTATGTCTCCCACTCCTGGTCGGACATTGTTGACGGTGTAGTTGCCTTTGCGACGTGCAGAATGTCTATTGAAGCGATGCGCGATAAGTGTGACGGCGCAATCATTTTCGGCAATCGACATAACTTGACCGATGAGGAAATGAGGAATGTATTTGTGCTGTAGAGAAGTGGAAGTGCTTCTAGGTATCTGGGCCACAGTCAGCTCGATTCGCCGATTGTAGAACATTTTCGCTCACGCTTTTCGGCACACTCGTAGCCACGCCACGCCTTTCAGCTTGTGCCGCGATAACTCTCGTCGTCCAATCCGCTTCGGATCCTCGAGATCATTCATACGACACATGTCTCCAGGGTTTGGATGGTCCTCTTCATCGCAAACCCGATGCCACCAGCGCCATTGGTCTGGCGGTCGCTTATCTCTCCGACGGTAGCCCGGCGCATAGCCGAAATCGTATTCGAGGTGGACCGACCGGCCACCAAACAGCTCAATGTATATTCGTTGACGAATTTCTTGGGGTAGACGAGAGAAGAATAGACTCTGGTCCTGGGGCAGCGTGCTGTTATTGTTCAAGTCGAGAAAATTAGTAGTTGACGTATTGATGGCTGTGAGGGTGTTGCTCCTGCTCCGGATAGTCGCAAGCTCCTGATCGGGAGGAGTCAAGGGTCTTCGAGGCGGAGGAAGAGGCATTGCCTTGAAATCGCGACTGTTGCCATTTTGCTTGCACGTTTCATGATAGATCCCTACCCGAGCCAGAATCGTTCGCGGGTCTGATTGTGAAGGGTGTTCTTCCGGTTGGTCTTTCTGTCGATCTTTGCCCTTCTCTTTCTCTTTCTCCTTATCTTTATTGCGAAAGCGCTGGAAGAATTGAAAGGTCATGGTGGGGGTTGAGGCGGAACAGGTGGTCTGATCCGGTTGTTGGATGTTGATTGAATTAGATGATTGGAAACAAAGACATCGGGGACGTTTCACATAATAAATGAAGGGCGCAACCGGCGATTATGCGGGTAACATGACGGGATGTTTCTTCGACCGACCGTGCAATTGGAGGTGGATCACTGTTTTATTTGACGAGGCTCAGACACCTATCCAGATAAACACGAATAGATAATAATGCATGAATGTATGATGGGTAACCGTGTGCAATGAAATCATCGTGTGATGTCTGGAACTCGGGATCAACAGGGGCAGTGTCGGACTTGTGGAGCTGCCAATTTGCGCCAGGTAAATAGCCCGCCTTCTCAACAAATGAAATCAATAACCAACGGTCTCGATGGAGTCTCGAAGTGTCTCCTACGCCAGTTAGAAAATTTTACACATGACAATGGCTGTCAGCTAGGGTCTAGGGATGGTCATTCCTGCGTCCCGATCATTAGCCATGAATCTACTTCCAAGCCTTGACTCGCATCGTGCCATTGCCAGGCTCCCTTTAGGCTTTTACCAGAGTCCAGCTGCCCAAGTCTATTAAAGTCTTCCAGAATAACTTAATGGATTAGCAAATGATGTCATTTCTCGTATCCTAGGTTTCCACTCGACTGGAAAGATCTCCCTTCTCCTTTTATCCTCGTCCCGACTGTGAGTCCCAAGCAGCCGGCTCCGGTTCAGCCACAACGTTCACTCCTCAAGCAAGTGGTGTCGCCTATTTTCCGCGTCTGCTTGACTATCTGCTCCCGGCAAGCCTGGTGACATCCCCTGACCCGCGGATCGTCAATGCCATGAACTCTGGATCGGCGAACTCGGACTTGCTATGAAACAGGACCCCATATTGGTAGTGAACCTACTTAGATACGCTAGGGCACTACCCACAGCAGAACCTAAAGCCCCCGTTGGGCTCCGTAGCTGCTGAAGAATGCCGATCCTTGAGCTACGCTTCTGGCCGCCGACGAGAAAAGTATGCCCGAACTCGTTCATTTGGGTTGGGTCGTCCGTACAGCATGGTCCAAAGATTTTCGTCAAGAGCAATGAATCTGCATTGGCAGATCCTCAGAGTTGCCAAGATACTCTCTATAGACCTGAATCTAGGCCACAAGCGTGAGAGAAGATCAATGCGGCCCTTGGGTGATCAGGAGCTTCACATCAATTCGTTTTTGTAACAGGAGATAGACGCAGTACGGATCCCTTGACAAACGCAAACTGGGCAGCATCCCGAATGCGACATAACTTCGATCTCCTTCAGACCATTCAAAGTATAGGGATCGTATGGGGGTCGATGGTAATGGGTGATTTACCAAAGAAAATATGATGGAATCCGAAAACATTTGAACCCGGAACATTCGGTCCACTGGGAACACAATAGTCGGAGGCAGGACCATATATGCCTTCTGAATAGTGGGAGAAATGATTGTTGATATAGATAAGGTACCTTACGCCAATAAGAAAAAATTGCACGTGGCATTAGCTGTCTGCTTCGATTGTGGTTTACTACCATAGGTCTAAATCACACCTATTTAGGCGGCGCTTTTAGCCACCAAGTTAATTGCAAGCAAATTGTACCCGAAGTTGTTCATCTGAGCAGGTTCGCGCGTGCGCCATGGCCCAAACGTTCCATGACGAGGAATGAATCCGCCCTGGCCTCCTCTCCTCCAAGATACCCTTTGTAGGCCTGGGTGTAAGCCGCAAACGTCAAGAAGATCTCGTGTCGGTCCTGGGAGACCAGGAGAAGGCTATGAATGGGAAGCTTATCAGTATAGGTTCACAAAATTTGGCAAGTCTCTCTCCGTAACCTACTGATTGTTGAATGCCGGGAGGCTGCGGTCCCTCCGGCATGATGTATGCTACCGTCCTCTTATGTCGCATCCTTTTCTTGGGCTCAACAATAGAAAGAGGGGCCACCGTCTTGCTAACCCGCAAAACCCCGTCGGTGACAGTGTTATTATCCCCTTTCCTAACATCGGGTGAAAGATGTCGTATTGAAGACCCACTCGATCGGGAGGCCGAATCACCAGCCCCGTCAGGCATTGTAAAAAGACGACCGGCGCGGCGTTCGGGGTCGCTTCATCTTCCGATCTGGAAGATCCTTCACGGTTTCGAGCGGCTTCTTCCCCCCTGGACTCGACGTGGTGTCTGACCGACAACGCAGACGTTTCGGGGCTGGGGGACCAATTTCTGCCCGATACCTGTCGTGGATCCCTTCTACGGTCATCGACTGTTCCTGCAGCCGTCTGGCTGCGATGAAGGTCCCGCTCGTGCTGCTCCTCAGTACGGTTGATCGGCGTGTCTGTTTTCACCGCTTGAAGATTCCCATCCTGGGGATTCCCGAAGGATATCGCTCGCTTTATCAAAACAGCCCGAAGTTTTCCCCCGAACAGGTTGGAATCTTTCACGACCATTAAGCGCATTAAGCCCAGGGGCGTAAATACGCAGCATCATAAATTTGCTTTTGCGTCACCTGGGAGGCTGATTTGAACATCTCCTTGTGCAAAGTGTTGATTGTCAGCTTATCGAGCTTTGCTCGGGCAACTATAATTTCCCTCTCCGCCAAGGGCTCTGGAATATCGAAACCTGGGATATCCAAGGGGTGTCCTGGCCCTGGACTCGGAGGAGAATGACTTAGACATTCCGGCAAGATTAATCTGATTCAGATGAAGAATGATACAAACAAAAGAAAGTATCAGGAGGAAGTCCTTAAAGAGGCCTTCAAATCTTCTTGAATAGAGAATCCAAAATCGAACGGTCAAGAGTGATGCCTAGGTAAGTGACAGTTTGTCTGGAGTGAATATGACAGTCTATCAGGAGTGAATTAGAATATTCATCTCCGTAGACTATGAGTACTGGACATTAGGTATTCACGATGGCCTTTTATTCTTTCGCCAGATGGGCGCGGGACATGCAATTATACCAGTATGGCTAAAAGAGTAAGTGTAAGTGTACCTGCGATGGGTTGTATTGACGAGATATCATTGAGGCAACTGACAACCACTCGCACTTGTGTCTACACTAAACCCTGTCTACCTACCAGGCACGGCTATTTATTACTAAAGATATCTCTTCCCTTTTGGTGTCTCTTCAATCGAAGAAGTGTGCAGAGAAGAAGGTAGCCCATGCAAAGGCTGTCGAAGTAATGGACGAGCTCTACGATCTCATGAGGGTCCGGGTTGATGCAGAATAATGGACAGGCAGAGCTGCGCCATGTTTGATCGGTGCAGGATCTTTGAACGTACAGAAAGGCACCTGGTTTCTTGATCTCATCGCCTGTTGCCATGCAGATCGAATTTGAAAGGCATGCGTAGCCCTGGCCGCAACAGGTCGCTTGCTTTGTGGAGTCTTGACATGGTGTGTCCTGTGGTGCGACACTGCCGTCTAGATAGTAGCACACTGAGAGAGAGGGACTCGGAAAAAGAAGCCATAATATGGCTGAGAAGAGGGTGATGTTAAGCCGGAAGGACTTCATGAGGCATTTGGTGTATCATTCATTATGGCATCATCAGTTCTCATTACAGAGTCATCATTATGCAAAGCCTGAAGTCAAGTTATTCTCATCATAAGAGAGTCTGCTGCGCCCCCTTATTATCATTGTGATATGTGTACTCCCCAAGGAACGAAAAGAGGGTTAAAATGGCGCTGTTGGCGCTGTAATTTACCGACCGAATGGATGAGGCTGTTGACATGCAGGGTTCTTATGGTTGGGCTCGCTGGAGCGTTGTACTGTAAGACCGTTATTCGCTGGGCTGCCCCAAATCCAAGACCCTTAGTATGCTGGTGCGCCTGCGCTCTTTAAGCGCCCACCAGCGACAGCAACAGCATCTCGAGGGTCGAAACTCCCACCTCAACTCTTCGTTCTCATTCCAAGTCTTTGGCAATATAGACTACAACCATTCGATTAATCTACGATCTAAATGCGATTTAATCTACGCAGTAAGGTCCATTTATGTAGCTCATCTTTTCTATTGCCTTTTGCTTGTACCATCAGAATCAGTCATTCCTTAAACATGAACACAAAGCGACGCCACTCTTTCATTGTGTCAATCACAGCTCTCAGCCTCATCTATCTGTACTTCTATCTGTCAAGGGTTTCTTGGTCGGTTTCGACAGAAGTCAAAGGCAAAGCGATTTGGCACGACGAAGTTGTTCCATCTTCAGACGACAATATTGTCTCGACTGACAGAAGACCAAAAACACCTATCGCAGAGCCTACCTTCTTATGGACGCGTCGTCCGACTCAATATCCGGTTCAGTCAATGACACCCCTGCCCAAGGAAAGGCCACGGAAATTGCCGAAAGTGCAGGCAGACTTTTCCACAGAGAAGGATCCTCAAAAGGCGCAAGTTCGCAATCAACGGCAAAATGCAGCAAAAGACGCCTTCATCCGATGCTGGACCGCTTACAAGGCTCGCGCCTGGATGGCTGATGAGGTTATGCCGGTATCTGGGGCGATGCGCAACTGGTTTGGTGGATGGGGAGCCACCCTCGTCGACAGCCTTGATACCCTATGGATCATGGGACTCCAAGAGGAGTTCGAAGAAGCCGTGTCGGCAGTCATGCAGATCAATTTTGAGACAACCTCGTTCAGCCAGATTAATACTTTTGAGACCAATATTCGATACCTGGGCGGTCTTTTGGCGGCCTACGATTTGAGTCATGACAAACGTCTTCTGAGCAAAGCCGTCGAGGTTGGCGAAATGCTGTACGCCGCGTTCGACACGCCTAATCGCATGCCCATTACCCGATGGGACTTTCAACGAGCGGCTCGCGGTGAGGAACAGGTAGCGGCTGAGGGTGTAGTGGTAGCAGAGATCGGAACATTCACGCTGGAATTTACCCGACTCTCGCAAATTACCGGCGACCCGAAGTGGTTTGATGCGATCCACCGCGTGATGGGGATTTTCTACCGCCAGCAAGACCTGACGAAACTGCCAGGAATGTGGCCTGTGGTTGTTAACGCGCGCGAAGAAGATTTCACCCAGGATACGACCTATACGCTGGGCGCTATGGCGGATTCAGTCTACGAGTACCTCCCGAAAATGCATGCGCTCGTCGGCGGTGTTCTCCCGATGTACGAAAACATGTATCGCGATGCGATGGATACTGCCATTCGATACAATCTCTTCCGTCCAATGACCCCCGACGAGGCTGATATTCTAGTTGCCGGAGCTGCGCGCACTGCGAGCGATGCCAGTGAGCCGCGCCGTGTCACTCTGGAGCCCAAGGGTGAGCATTTGATCTGTTTTGCTGGGGGAATGATGGCGTTGGGCGGACGACTGATACAGAATAACACTCATGTCGATCTGGGCCAGAAGCTGACCGATGGCTGCATCTGGACGTACAAAGCGCTGCCATCAGGGATCATGCCCGAATTCTTTCACATGTCGCCTTGCGCATCCCAAGCTTCATGTCCCTGGGATGAAGCGCAGTGGCAAAGGGAGGTGACGAGTAGGGCAAAAGTTTTACAAACTGAAACTGCTGCGGACATCATCCACGAGCAGCGCCTTCCAAAGGGGTTTACTGCATTCGCAGACCGGCGGTATCTCTTGCGGCCGGAGGCCATCGAGTCCGTCTTCATATTGTACCGGATCACCGGACGAGAAGACTTGCTTGATGCCGGCTGGACGATGTTCGAGGCGATTCAGAAAGCTACAGAGACAGATCTTGCCAACGCAGCTTTATCAGACATCACCGTTCCCCAGCCGCCTCAGACTGATTCGATGGAGAGCTTCTGGATGGGGGAGACGCTCAAGTACTTTTTCCTTCTCTTCAGCAGCCCCGATCTGATCAGTCTGGATGAATATGTATTCAACACCGAGGCGCATCCTTTGAAGAGGATGAAATAAACTATGTTTTGGTTATGTTCCCTTGGTTGGAAGGCCAACATGACCTGTGGCCTGGCCGGGCTCGGTTTTGGCCCAAATTTTCAATCTACCCCTCCACCCCTCCCGAAACGGAAGGCTTTCTCAGGATTATGCGGACTGTGTTCTAGATACGTTACCTCATTGATTAGAACAAGTGAGACATATTTCTCGTTGACAGAGCTACCCCTTCCATATTGCTACTTCTCATTGCTGGAGCCTGGCTGTGAATGGCTGAACTGACGGCTGCAGAATGTCTAGTATGTATATCTAGTTAAATATTGACCAACCACTAGTCTGATACTCAGATCGCGCGTTGGAAACCTCTAAGAATTTCCTCTGAATAGAAATGTTAAAAGGTTCCAGTGTCAGGACGTTTGCGGGCAGTCATTTCTATTCTGCAAAACTGCAACAAATTCGGAATAGCGACGCTGGTATAGAGTATCTTTGTGCGGGCTCGGGTACCTCTGTTGACCACGAGCATACATTGACCAGACCGTGGGCGGCAGCATCATGAGTTTTCAAGAAGGCACAGAACATCGCACTATGCACAGAGCTAATGGTCTCCCCACCCTGCTTCGCGGACGAATGGCCGCTGGCCTACTTTGCCGATTTCAACAATTGGCTGACGTTCCTGGAGGACAATCCGGGTCAAGGCGCTGCAAGACCGCAGTTTATCTGCGCGGTGGACTCAGGCGAGAATCAAGCAGCCGGTTGGTTGTTTTAAGGAAAATGCGCCAAGAAGGCCGCATCCTGTGATATTAATACCGCATACAGGGACGAGCCTCTGAAAAATAAGGGAGGGCTATGGACGCAGTGGGTTCTGGTTAAGGCGGTATTTACTAGGCAGGTGTATTCGATTTCGTGGTCAGGGCTCGTGGACCCTGGAGACAGTGATGGTGGCCTAAAGATCAACTAGTGCCAGCCTGATTCAGGCAATGGGAAAGATCGTTGAGGGTTCACTCTCCTAAATTGTGACTCATGGTTTGACTGGAACCCATAGGCAAAAGACTACACCACAATGTACAACCCCCCAAAGCAGCGAAGTGTTGACATCTATCTTAATGATATTGTTGTAATTGAGGCCAATTCCAGCCAGAGAGCAACAGATACAGAGCTGAAACAGCACTTTAGTCTTATAAGATATTCTAATAACTGCTCCAGTAAGATGCAAGAGAGACCTGGAAGCCATGTCAGCTGTGGTCTTTGCTCCACCAAAGACACAACCACATCCGACTTTCGCTGAGACAACATCAGGTGCCTTGACCATGGCAGCAAGCCCATTAGCAAGGGGGCTGGGGTACTTTGCCACACCTGCTGCAGCTAATCTCACAAGAGAAACATAATAGGCTGAAAGAAAGAGTTGCCAAACCTAATAGGTACTATTCAAAAGTAATCCAGAAGATTATTTATCAGATATTAATAGCTGTATTAAGTATTAGATGAAACATTCAATCCCTAAGGCCATGATACCATTCCTCCAGCGCTTTCTGGCAGTCTTCTCTGTGGAAGGAGTCCGGCCAACCATAAGATAAATAGATATCTCACATTTGCTAGGCAAATTGGATCAGCACAGGGATGACAATAGAGCTTAGAATTAGTAATTACATACATTAGGAATAGGATTGAGACCACTGTCATCCTGCATATGGAGATATGCCCATGTTTCAAGCCCCTTAACCAGCAGGATCCACTCAAGATCAATAAAATACTTCTTCCACTCATTAAGAAATTCTGAAAGCAGCATAACCTAATCATCACACATATCCCGCCAGTAACAAGGATTATCTACTGCATAGGCGGGATTAAAGGAGCTCGCATAAATCTCATAGGCTATTGCTGTCCCTATAGATTAGTAAGAGGGCTGTTGTCATAGCAAGGATCAAGAATAGCTAAACCAACCATCAGTAGTGTCGAGCATGAGATATTTTCCGTATTTCCCCTCTGAGTAGGTAAGATTTATCACCTAGGGGGGAAGCTCATAATCATCTTCTGGGGGGAAAGGAATTAAGGCCTTAATATTCCCTTTAAGGTAATCACAAGACTTTGTCCAAGGGAAGATATTCCATTCTCTATATAAGGAGTTGAGGTAAGGTAGATGGCGTAGCAGCTCAATTACCTCATCTGTCTTATTTAAAAAGGCAAACTTATCCTTAGTAATTTACAGCCATCCTTCAGGAGGGGGATACAGAATCTCATCTAGCTCTATGAAAGGAAGAGTGGTCAAGAATTAATAAAAGTCTGTGATAGCTGCGACGATCTGCTCACAATTATATGTAGATAGATTTATCAGTCAAGGATCCAGAGGGAGTAACATTGTTATTGATGATACCTAATAAAGAAATGAAGGGTGAAGAGGAGCGTGTTGAACTGTGACAGTGTGCAGTCACGTGGTTAATGAGTGCAGCAATTGCGATCATATTACTAGGAGTAAAAATTCGCTATTGATAATAGCCATAGACTCAGGTGAAATTCTTATTTTGATTATTCCAGGGTTGAACCTTTGCTGCTTGTATGCTTATATGCCTAATCCTTGTTTGCCACAGATTCCACACCCTCTTCCACGTCCCAGCCATAGAGTCGCTTATTTAAGCTGCCCACTAGTTTTCTGGCTGCCAAATCTTCTGTCCCGGGAAATCTAAGACCACCAGCTGCAATGTCAAGAAAGCAGGCGTCGCGGGTGATGATGTCTGTCGAAAGCGCAGTCCGAAGAACGCGAACCACCAGCATTGAAGATGATACCCGGGCCGCTCCAACCGCCACGATGACACTCAATTGCGCCAAATACCCTCAGCCTTGCTGGCACTATTCATCAGTGGCTCGCTACAATCCCGGCGATGAATTTGCCACATGCCAATATAAGGAACAATCCGATCCGGATCAGCCCACCGTTGATGAGTACGACCGTGAACGAGACAGAAACAAGCTCCGTTGAGCGTGACACCTGTATATAATTATACTACTCAGTGAACCCGGTCGTACACAAACAAAAATGACGAGCCCAATTTGAGACCTTGGTCTACTTTCTCTGAAAAGTCTCTGATTTCATCATCGATCCATTTACAAGCCTGGCAACCTACGTACCACGTCCTCAAGTCATCACATGGACCTACCACCCACAGAGGGCTGCTATAGTCACGTGGCATGCATGAGCACAAGCTAGGGAGTCCCAAACAACGCAACAAACCACTCTACACCCAATTCCAGACCTCAGAATTAACCAAGATTCTGCATCACACTGCAAGGAATTATCGCATTATTTTAATCATCAACTCCATTACGTTTTACCCATGTCGCAGCCTGAAAGGCTGAAACAGCTCAGGGGTCCGCTCCTCATCCGGTAAGGCGGCCAACCAAATAAAACATGGGTACTTCGTATATTAAGTTTCTTATGATCATCACCGCCACTATTAGCGATCTGCGAACTCAACTTTAAATAACTCAAATGGATTGCGTATGTCAACTCAATAGACTGATATTCATAACTATCGTGTCTTCTCCCTTGCTTGGGTGGCATTATTGTTCCCTGCGCCCTAGCTGGATGCAAGGTCCGCAAGTTGTTAATACTCCGTACGTTTTGCAGGGTAGTGTATACCTAGCCTCGGTAGGATCTTACGTGTTCGAGGAGCGTTTCACGAATTAATAAAGACTGTCTGATTAGTCTCCTAAGATTCATTAGCTCTTCGCATATTCCCACATTATGGAATTATAGACATCATATTTGGAATTCATTATTTGGGTAAAATGCTGGGATGCAGTAGAGCAATGTCTAGAACAATGCAAAGCCCAACGCCGATCCAGCCATCAAATGCATCACAGAGACCACGACACATTTACATCATTTTAGAAAAAGAATGAGTACACAAAGATCAAAATCGTAGCAGCCGTTGCCACTGTATACTCCAGCTCGAACCAGGCCGCCTGACCACCGAACGCAATCTTCTTGCTCCGGGGAGTCGGATGTGCCACTCCCGTCTTGGGGTCGCGGGTCAGCAGGTCCTCGCGGTCGGGCATCACCGGTGGGTCGACGGCGTAAGCGATAGGAGTCCAGAGGGAAGTACAGATGAAAAGGAATGTCAACGGGGGCCAGAAGGCGTGTGTGATCAAGCAGAGAATGACATCTCGGAAGCTCTTCTCCTGCGCGAAGCAGCGATACGATGAGATGACGACCGCGACGAGCGTAACATACACAAAGGCAAGGTGAAAGAAAGCCATGTAGTTGAGCAGAACCACGCGCAGACGGACGAACATGTTCTTCCTCCGTTTCGGATCACGCTCTTCGAGTGCCGAGCTGAGTGAGCCGGTTGGCTTGAAGGCCTGTGTCTGGCCACCAAGCCATTTAGGGAGGATGAATGAGCGGACAATGCAAAGGGCAATGTAGGGTGCCATCCAGAGCTGGTAGCGCGAGCCTCTCTGTCCGGTGTGGTAGCCGGCGGGGATGAAGAGGGCGAACTCGCAGATTCGGTTGGAAATTGTCGAGGCGAAGCACGCCCAGATGAGCCAACGAAGTTGCTCCTGAGTTGCATAGGCAACAAGTTGCTTGCCCCACAGAAGAATAACGGGGATGGCGAAAATCGAGGCAGTGAGAAGGAGGGTGTACAAGCTGAGTGTTGCGTAAAGGAACCCCGAAAAGCGCTGAGCAGCTGTCATCTGCCGGACGCTGTCACCCCACAGACAGAATTTGAGCTTCACAGCGGTGTCGACAGTTCCGATCGCCCATCGCGTACGCTGCTTGAGATGTCCGCCAAAGTCTTCCGGCACGGTACCAAACTGAAGAGGTTCATGGATGTACGCGGTCTTCCATCCCTTTCCAAGCATCAATGTGGAGGTTGCGACATCTTCAGCCAACGAGCCGAGAGGGAAGTTGCCGATCTCGTCCAGGGCCTCGCGTCGAACGACGTAACCGGAACCAGTGCACCAAGCGACGCCCATCGCATCCTTGATTGGCTCAATCACATGCACGAAGAAATCCAGACTCTGTGCGA